TAAATAACTCACTATATTTTATCTGTGTCACATACATTAGGACAAAAAATAATAGTTATTGGGCCCGTGCGTAAGAGAGTTTATGCCCAAGTATAATATATAATATTCAACATTGGGACTTTCTTGAATACTATATATTATATTTATATTTATTATTATATTTCTATTTTCTATTCTATTCTATCTATCATAAAAGAGAGTTTAAAAATTGCGTAAAAATACTATAAATCATGATAATTGACAACATAATATATTTAAAAAATATTGTATGTGGTAGTCTTATTATGCCTTAAATAGCGTCAAAGAAAGTACAGGTTTGTGATAAACAAACTTATTCCTTTATCCACGCAAACAATCGCTTTCAAAAACTACGATTATTAACCCCAAAACATACCATTTATATTATTGGGCCCGTGCACATTGTTTAAGTATACCCTTTTTTATATTTTCTGTCCAAATTAAATATATATTTTTATTATATTTCAACACAAATTATTTTAATTTCTACGGAAAACACGTATCAAGCTTAATTTAAGTACCCATTTTTTAAAGAAATCAACCCATTTAACTCGACTCACATATTTTTATTTTTTTTCGTCTTTCTTCTTCTTTTTTTCAATACCCAAAACTTCAAAGCTTGTTATCTGAGTCCAATAGAGACATTTATATCAAGGAAATAACATTTAGTGTAGGTACATTTGCTTTAATCTTTATTGCGATACGATTTTTTTAAAAAAATAAATCATTTTCCGAATTTTCTTTTAATTTTACAGGTGTACTCCGATCCAGTGATAATAATTCTAGAAAGAAAGCAATTTAAATGATAGAGCGGAAAGGAATGTGGTCGATAATTTAGACCAAATTCAATATTAATGATGGAAATAAAAAAAGATAAACGGAAATAAAATATTGAAAATCAATATTAAATATTTTATATATAGATATATGCGGCAATTTCTGATAGGCTGGCAATGCAGAAAATAAATTATCATGATATGAAATGGAAAAAGTCAGAAAACATGCTGA